GTTATTCATACTCCCTGTGATGCAGAATAGTATTATTTAAAAGTGAGCTTGCAGAGTTGTAAATGTGTATTGCAAACTACAGGGCAACCACTAAAAAAGGTTTTAAAAAAAGTAGTATAATAGACATGCTAAGAAAGGAGAGAAAACCAAATCATATAAAATGTCCAATTAAAACTACTAAAGGCAAAAAAGAGTGGAAGACAAAAACAGGAACAAAGAACAAGGTCAACAAACAGAAAATAGTTAACAAATATAGTAGCTATTAATTCGACTATATTAATAATCACTTAGAATGTCAGTGTCTAAACATACAAATTAAAAGACAGAGCATCAGGCCTCGCCATAGCCACTACCAAGCCCAACGACACCACCTCTGAGAAGACAGCTAGGATGTCTTCACCAAAGGCTACTGATTTGGCTTAATAAAGCTTGATTTGAAAACAAAATCCAAGAATGGACTGGAATTGACAAGCTCAGGCTCAGCCAACACTGAGAACACCAAAATGATGGGCAGTCTGAAAACCAAGTACAGATGGACTGAGTACAGCCTGACATTTACAGAGAAATGGTACACTGACAATACCCTAGGCACCGAGATTACCATGGAAGATGAGCTTGGACGTGGACTAAAGCTGACCTTCAATTCATCCTTTTCACCTAACACTGGGGGAAAAAAAATGCTAAAATCAAGACAGGGGACAAGTGGGAGCACATTAACCTGGGCACGACATGGATTTCGACATTGCTGGCCCTTCCATCCGAGGTGCTCTGGTGCTGGGTTACGAGGGCTGACTGGCCAGCTACCAGACGTGTTTTGAGACTGCAAAGTCCTCAGTGACCCAGAGCAACTTTGCAGTTCGCTACAAGACTGAAGAATTGCAGCTTCACACTAATGTGAATGACGGGACAGAGTTTGGGAGCTCCATTTACCAGAAGGTGAACAAGAAGTTGGCAACCACTGTCAACCTCGCCTGGAGAACAGACAACAGTAACGTGCTTCAGAATAGCAGCTAAGTATCAGACTGAACCTGACGCCTGCTTCTTGGCTAAAGTGAACCACTCCAGCCTGATAGATTTAGGATACACTCAGACCCTAAAGCCAGCTATCAAACTGACACTGTCAGCTCTTCTGGATGGCAAGAACGTCAATGCTGGTGGCCACAAGCTTGCTCTAGGACTGGAATTTCAAGCATAAATTAATAATGTACAATTGTTTAATTTGGAACTATTTTGCAGCATAACTACCTTCAGAATTTAGTGTATCTTTTAATGTTGCACGTCTGGGATGCAAGTATTGCTAAATATGTTAGACTTTCAGGTTAAAGATGATTCAGCTTTAAGATGTTACCCTTTCAGAGGTACAGAAGAAACCCATTTCCAAAAAACGTCCTTTCAGTGGTAGACTTGGAATAACTTGGTGGCCCCTTTGAGATGCCAGGTCTCTTTTTTATCTAGAAATGGCTGCAAGTGGAAGCTGATAATATGTAGGCACTTTGTAAATCCATATTGAGTAAATGAATGAAACTGTGATTTCCTGAAAATCGAACCTTGGTTTCCTAACCCTAACTATGAGAGGCTTGCTGCTTGATGTGTACAAACTCACCTGAATGGGACTTTTATAGATAGATCTTCATGACCTGTTCCCACCCCAGTTCATCGTCACCTCTTTCACACCAGAAGGTCTGCAGGGTATGGTCACTGTTACTTTTGTGCTATTTTGGGGTGGAGAGGAGGGATGTGATGAAGCCAATAATTCAGGACTTACTCTTTCTTGTGGTTTTTTGTTTTGTTTTGTTTTTTTGTTTGTTTGGTTTTGCCCTAGTACCACAGTGTGAAATAGCTTCCAGGAGCTACAGCTATAAGCTTAGAAATGTCTGTGTGATTGTAATCACACAGTGACAACACTCAGCATCTAAATTGGACTTCTGTTTTATTCTCACCACTCAATTTGTTTTTTGGCAGTTAAATGGGTACATTTTAGAGTCTTCCATTTTGTGTGGAATTAGATCCTCTCCTTCAAATGCTGTAATTAATATTACTTTAAAAAAACTTGAATATTGAAACCTCAAAAAAAAAAAAAAAAAAAAAAAAAAAAAAAAAAAAAAGACCGAGTGTCAGGGTGAATCAAAAAATGAGACCCCACTATGTGTTGTCTACAGGAAACCCATTTTAACCATGAAGACACATAGATTAAGAGTCAACGGATGGAGAACATTACACCATGCTAACACTACTCAAAAGAAAGTGGGAGAGCTATATTAATTTTAGACAAAGAAGACTTTTAGAGCAAGGAAAATTAGCAGGGATAAAGAGGGTCAATACATAATGATAAAGGGTCAATTCTCTAAGAAGACATAACAATCTGTAACTTGTATGCACCTAACATGACATAACAATCTTTAATTTGTATGCACCTAACAAAAAAGTATCAAAATAGTTGGCAAACTCATACAACTGAAGGAGAAAGACAAATTCACAATTACAGCCAGAGACTTCAACACCCCTCCAGCATTGAAAATTCCAAGAAGTAGATGTAAAAAACTAATTGAACTGAACATTATTAATTGATTGGATCTAAGTGACATGCATAAAGCCTTCTTCCAACAACAGCAGTATGCACATTCTTTTCAAGCTTACATGGAACAATCAAGAGAAACCACATCCTCTATCATAAAGCGCACCTTAACAGATTAGAATAGAATTCATACAAAGTATGCTGTCAGACCACAATAAAATTAAACTAGAAATCAATTATCAGAAAAATAGCTGGAAAATCAAATTATTTGGAGATTAAAGAACACACTTCTACATAACAAATGGGTCACTAAAGAAGTCTCAAGAAAAAAACTTAAAATACTTGAAACTAAATTAAAATGAAAATTCAACTTAAAATTTGTGGCATGGAACATAAACAATACTTGGAAACTTATAGCAATGAATGCATATATTAGAAAAGATGATTTAAAATCAATAATCTAAGGTTCCACCTTAATAAACTAAAAGAGGAAGAACAAATTAAATCCAAAGTAAATAGAAGAAATAACAACTAGAACAACTCAATAGAGAAAATCAACTATACTCAAAAGCTAGTTCTTGGAAAAGATCAATAAAATTCATAAGCCTTCAGCCAGGCAGAGAAAAAAAAGAAAAGACATAAATTACTAATATCAGAAATGAAAAGACAGGATATCACTATAGTTCCCATGAACATTAAAAAGATAATTAAGGAAGATTATAGACAAATTATATTCCTACAAATTTGATAACGTAACATAAAATGAACCAATTCTTTAAAAGACACAATCTGCCAAAGTTAACACCATAAGAAACAGACAACCTGATCAGGCCTGTATCTATCAAACAGTGAATCAACATTTAATAACCTTCCAACACAGAAAAAGAACTTACCAAGCCTACAGGGGTTCATGAGTGAATTCTACCAAACATTTAAGGAAGAAAATATACTAATTCTCTCCAATGCCTTTCAGAAGACAGAAGCAGAATGAATACTTCTTAACCCATTCTATGAGTCCAGCATTATCCTAATACCAAAACTAGACAACAATACAGGAAAACTATAACCCAGTATCTCTCATGAACACAGATACAAAAATCCTCAACAACATATTAGCAAATGAAATTAATGATGTATAAAAAGTTTTATACCCCATGATCAAATGGGATTTATCTCAGGTATGCAAAGCAGTCCAACACCTGAAAATCAATTATGTCATTTATTACATCAAAAGGCTAAAGTAGAAAAATCAACTAGGAATAGAGGGAACTTCCTCAGCCTCATAAAATCTACCAAAAAATGTATAACTAACAACACACTCAGTGGTAAGAAAGTAGAAGCATGCCCACATCAGGAACAAGGCAAAGATGATCCCTCTCACGACACCTTTTCAAAATCAAACTATAAGTCTCATATAACAAGTCAAGAAGTGGAAATAAAAGTTATAGATATTAGGAAGGAAGAAATAAAACTGCAGAGTAGATTGTCTATTCAGATAATCTTAAAAGAATCAACCAAAAAAAAAACCCTCCTAGATCTAATAAGTCATCATAGCAAGGTTGCAGGATACAAGGTTAATAATATGAAAGTCAGTTGCTTGCCTATATACCATCAATGAACAATATCATTTATTAATACATTAGCACCCCCAAAAATAACTACTTAAAAATAAATCTAACAAAATATATACAAGAATCACATAAGGAAAATACAAAACTGATTAAAGAAATCAAACAAGATAAAAATAAATGGAGAGATATTCTAACATGGATAGGAAAAGTCATTATTGTTAAATGTCATTTCTTCCCAACTTAATCTATAGATTCAATACAATCCCAATCAGAACCCCAAAAAGCTATTTTGTGAACATTGACAAACATTCTAAAGTTTACGTGGAAAGGCAAAAGACAAAACAAAATACTAGAGAAGAAGAGTTGGAAGACTGATATTACCCAACTTCAAAACTTACTATATAACTACAGTGATCATGACAGTGTGGTAAGGGCAAAAGAACAGAGAAATTAGTCAACAGAAATAACAGTTTGGCAGTTCTTACAAAGCTAAACATAGGCTTACCATATATAAAATCCGGCAATCACACCCTAAGCATTTACCCAAATGAATTCAAAAGCTTGCCCAGGATTGTTTACAGCAGCTTTATTCAAATATGAAGAACTGCTGTACATCTATCTACACAATTCAGCAATAAAAAGAAATGACCTATCAAGTCACAAAAAGATATGGCAGATCCCTTAAATGCATACTTCTAAGGGAAAGAAGTCAATCTGAGTAGGAAGCATGAGCCACCATGCCTGGCCTATTAAATTTTTGTTAAGAAATCATAACCAGCTTAAATTGATTTTAGAAACATAACCTCTTCCTAAGTTGCTGGTTCCTGTGATATATCTGAGGGAGAAACAGACATGCCACTTATTAACAAGTTTAAGAAGTAAAGGAAGGAAGAAAAAACTGTTTTATGACTTACCCGTTGCTTCAAAAGTCAATTTTATGGAATCCCAAGGTGTCTGTTCTTTGGATATGAGTCGGAAATGAGCAGGATTTCTTGGAGAAACTTCCGGTGCAGGAAGATACCAGTTTTTCCTATTTGGAAAGGTAGCTTTAATATTTAGTGCTTTATCAGTCGATGGCTATCTGTTAACTCACAGAAGTGTTCAGTATGTATGAACACGTTTTGGGGTATGAAAATAAACTGATAGACATAATAAGCAATGCCAACTCCCAAAAACTCAGATTATTTTGCAATACAAGCTTCCCAATATTAAGAACAAAGGAGTAACCTAGGTGATCTTGATTCTACCACCCATCCTATTTCTTCTCATCCAGTCCTTCACTGCCAAGCTATAAAATTTTCCCAGAGAAAACAATTTTTGAGACAGATGCTTAATGGCTATTGTATTAGTTAGAAGGGCCACCTTTTCTATCCACTCATGTTTCTAGAGAAAAGACTTTAAATTTGAAAAAGCAGAACTACTCCTCTGAGTGCTTTATTTCACTTAAGAAAAAAAAAAAAACAAGTTCCACAATGATAGAAAAAACACTACAAACAGCACTGAACTTGTATATTAAGGATGACAGTTTAAATGATAACAGTACTGATACAGTGACAAGACTTGAGAACAAACTAATATCCAACTTAAGCAGAAAAACAATGAACCAACCTGATTAGAAAGTGCACTGGAAGATACCAAGGAAAACCACAAAGAGGTGCATTCTCCTCACAGTGGGCTCGGATGCTATCATTGATCTCAGGAATGTGAGGGGTTATGTGAGACATTCCAGTATAATCAAACCCATTGATCCATACTCCAGAGTCCCGTTTAACAGCATTTCCTTCTAAGTCATGAAATGTTCTCGTCATATGCTGGGGGGGGGGGGGAAAGACTAGTGAAAAAACTATTTCAACTAGTACACCCACATTCTCACAAAAATGGAGTATGACAATACCAAGAAATGATGTGGATATGGAGCAAGTGAATGAGACACTCAGGGTTTCTAATGTACTGCTAGGGTTCTTTCTTGTAAACTGGAAGATGGATATATAGATGATTGTTTTGCTGTATCTTCCAAATATATTTAGGTTTCCTATAACATTTTTTGAAACTTCCTATTTCAGATTTAAAAGGCATGAATGTTAGAGCTCCTCTGAGATAAGAATTTAAAACAAATACATCCTAAACACATATATACACACACACTCATTTCCCCTTTAATGTTTGATGAAGCTAATTAACGTGCAGACAAAAACGGGAATTGCAGCTCACCACTAGATGACAGCCTTGTGCCTAGCAGAATTTTATAAAAAGACACCATGGTCCATTTGGAATAACTTTATTGACAGCAGAAACCAGCCTGAAGCATATCAAACAGGGGGAAAAAAAGGAAAGAAAACACTGCATAGGGTAGGCGCCTGCAAACTGCAGCCAACAGAGCAAACCGTCCACTGACTCACTAACTGTTTTTATATATCAACTGTTATTTGAACATGGCCACATTCATTCATTTAGGTATACTATCTTGCTGCTTTCACTCTGTAAAATGGAGTCACTGCAACAGACTGTATTGCTGACAAAGCCCAAAATACTATCTTGTCCTTCACAGGAAAAGGTTGCCAACTTCTGGCACAGTGGAAGAGAACCCCAAAACAAATCAGAAAAGGGCATTTTAAAAGTAAAAACCTGGCTTTTCCTAAGTATTACTGACATAATTATAAAACCTAGTACATCATGAAAAACACACTGAACCTCCTAAAAAAAAATTTGTCCTTCAATAAAGGTTTTATAAATTGTAAAATCTCACATAAAATTTATCACGGAATCCTTCAGGGCTATAACAAGGAATTACTATTTGGACCCTTTTCTAAATCTCCTAAGTTCAAGCGTTTTTAATTTTTTAAGTCCTTGAATAGTGATCTAGGTTATAATTTCTCTGGCATTTCTGTTTGGCTAGTCCACAACCTCTAACAGAGATGACTAGAATTGAGGCTTACTGCTTTATGGTACCACGTCTAAAAAATCTGAAGAAGAATCTAAGATCTAAAATAAGTCTTCAAACTGCACAGGGATGGTGATTCACACCTGTAATCCCAGGCACTTTTGGAGGCCGGGGTGGGCGGATCACCTGAGGTCAGGAGTTCAAGAACACCCTGGCCAATGTGGTGAAACCAGTCTCCACTAAAAATTCAAAAATTAGCCAGGCGTAGTCGTGGGTACCTGTAATCCCAGTCACTTGGGAGGCTGAGGCAGGAGAATCACTTCAACCTAGGGGGGCCGAGGTGGGCAGATCACCCGAAGTCAGGAGTTCGACAACACCCTAGCCAACATGATGAAACTTATCTCCACTAAAAATTCAAAAATTAGCCAGGTGTTGTGGTGGGCAACTGTAATCCCAGCTACTTGGGAGGCTGAGGCAGGAGAATCACTTGAACCCAAAAGGCAGTGGTTGGCAGTGGGCCAAGATCATGCCACTGCACTCCAGCCTGGGCAACAGAACAAGACTCCATTTCAAAAAAAAAAAAAAAAAGACAGTAAGTCCTAAAACTCATTTTATTAATCTCTTCCTAAGTTATACTTTCACTATCACATATTACTTTGAATGTTACTTAAGATTAATTTTACCAGTATTTTTAAATATCAATTTTATTTTGCCAGTTGATAGTTTAGATTTTTACTCAGCCTGCAGACATTCTTACAATCTTTATTTCTAAAAACTCATTATTCCATCATATATATTTGCTCCTGTTTTTCCAAATAGGTGCAGTTTTATAATTTGAATAGTAATAAAAACAAGGAAACATTTCCAATTCAGTCTCCTGGGAGATATATGTCTAGCTGATAAGAATGCCTCTTGACAGTCAGTCTTCTCCTCACTGTCTTACACACAAAAAAGGTGAGTATGACTAAGTAGGTCAACAGGAAAAAAGTCAGTTGAGCTTCCAATTCACTACTGAAGCTCAAAACACACAAGGCTTTCCTTTTCACATCTCAAATAGCTCATGCAAAACTGCTCACCTGAAGAAACACTCTCTTTGGCTTCGGATTAGCAGGATTGGAGCTATATGGAAAAAATGTTCCACTGCAAACAAGGAGGAATGTAATTGCACACACCAAAGTTAAAGTCAGCAAGGTTTTTTTTGTGCTCTTGGCAAGGTAGATGAAGTTAATCTAAAACACAAACCACAAACATAGGAATATTACAAATTCATGCTAGTAGTAGAAAGGTGTTTTTAACTGACTTTACTTTTAACAGGTATTATCTAACAGACCCTGAAGAAAATTTATCAGCAGGTTCTAGCATACTCCAACAACTAGTAAACAAAGCACTAATTCTAAGAGATTTCCATCACAGGTGAGAACCTAGAAAATAATAGATGCCTCCAATGCCACCTTTTTAACACGCAGCCATAAACCAACAGGAAAAAAGAGGACTGTCGCTGTCCTCAATCAGCAAAAAGAACAGAAATGTAGATGTAATAGATTATTCATTAAATAACCAGAGATAAGCTTTAAGCTTAGGCAGATCTGTTTGGACAAAACTCCAATTCCACTCATAATGCTTTAAATTTATGTCAGAATACTGAATTCATCTAAACTAGCATACAGATGTACCTTCGAGACTGCCGGTGGACCTGCATATGAGGAAAAACTGCATTTCAAAGTAACAGTACCCCTTTAGGTGACAAATTAACCAATCCCAACACAATCAAAACAACAAATCTGAACTTGGGCAGTAAACGTAAATGACTGAGTTACAAGGCTGGCATCCAGAAAGTCCTAAATATACTTATCTTAGATTTTTAATTGTAATGAAATCACTGAACTAAAAACTGTAAGGGACATAACAACTCAGAATATTCCATAGATCCCTTACAAGGCCTGAAGAAGCCATTTGGGGAAACTATATTTGAAATTTTAAATTGTTCTAAGAAGCCGCATTTTAAATATTGTGACTACTAGGAGAAAGGGGACAGACAGGGTGACAAATTTTGTTTTGCTAACTCACAGCCTCAAGTCCTCAGGTACTCTGTCTTATTTTTGTACTCAATGTATACAAATGTGAGATGTGTGACCTAAGGCTAGCACTGTTTTGTTACAGATGCCTCTGGATGGAATACTGGTACACTACTGACATAAAATCTAAATCCAGCTCCCCTTTTTGCCTTCTTCATTTTATTTCTCTACTTATTTCCGTACGTAGAGAAATAACATGAATGTGAATTTTTTCTTTTTGAGACAGAGTCTCACTCTGTCACCAATGTTGGAGTACTGTGGCACAATCTCAGCTCATTGCAACCTCCACCTCCCAGGTTCAAGCGATTCTTGTGCCTCAGCCTCCTGAGTAGCTGGGATTACAGGTGTGCACCACCATGCTCAGCTCATTTTTGTATTTTTAGTAGAGAGGGGGTTTCACCATGTTGGCCAGGCCGGTCTGGAATTGCTGATCTTAAGTAATCCACCCGCCTCAGCCTCCCAAAGTGCTGGGATTACAGGCGTAAGCCACTACACCCAGCAAGCAATCAGTTAACAGGTGTCCTTGGGTATTCTTTGCTGGGCCTTCATGGTTATATGCATACTGATTGAACAAGGCTGAAATGAGGACTGCTGGTACAAGTAGGGTCAGGAGAAGAAGAGTCACAAACAGCTCAGTCATCAGCACACACTGGACATTTCAGAGTCCCTTTTCATGCTCCTCTTCAATTTATTTTGTACCCATCTCAGAACCTAGAGTGACATAGGATGACATATTTCAGGAAGGCTGAGGCATGAGAATTGCTTGAACCCGGGAGGCGGAGGTTGCACAGAGCTGAGATCATGCCAGTGCACTCTAGTATGGGCAACAGACTCCATCTCAAAAAAACAAAACCAAGCAAACAAAAAATAAAACCTGATCACTTGACAAGACTTTGCTTTTTAGCAGACATATTTAATAAATCCCCAAGGACTGAAGGAAAAGCTCTCTGAAATATGCATTGCGGTTCAATTCTCCATTACCCAAAGAAGACAGTCTTACTCTATTAATAAGCCACTATCATTAATACTGCTACACATAAATAAGAAAATGATTAAAAGACTGATAACTCATGGAATCAAGGTGCGGCCGGGCTATTTCACATTAAAAATGAATATTAAATGAGCTTTCTAAAGTATTCCAAGAGGCAGTCTTCTCTCTAAAAGCTTTTCCAATAAAATATAATTTAGAAGATAAGATATTTTAATCCTCTTTCCTCTGGTTTCCATTTCCACAATGAACATCTCCAGGGTTCATTTTGCCCCCTTTCATATTATCAGTGGAACAGAATTTAAAACTCCCATATCTGAGTCATCTTTTACGGACATCCATAGCTCCCATTCACTGAATATAATTTAATAAATACACAGGGTTGGGGGCATTCCATTCATAACTAGCTGACTTTTGATTAGAACCTAATCTACAGATGACAAAACTCCACTATCTGCTTTAATCCTTACAACAGCAAAACCTATCAAAAATACAGATGATATAAGGGTTAATATTAAACCAAAAAGAAGCATAACCCTACAGGCAACAAAGAACATTTTAGAACTTTTCATCCATCCCTATGAATACCAGTAAGGATTATCCTTATCCTTATATTACCCTTAATCATTATCCTGTAAGTAAAATGGTTGGAATGCTCAGATCTCTTTTAAGACTAGTACAGCAGACCTCAAACAATAATATGCGTAAGAATTACTCTACAGGGTTATATACACAAAGCCACATATATAGAGCTTAATGGCTATTTAAGGGACTTCTACCGATGATGCTGACCATGTGTGTAGTATTTCCCTTACCTGCTGTCTTTAGAATCTAACTTCCACAAAGTAAAGGGATAAAGATGCCCTCTACTGTTATCAGTATGAAAAAAACTCACTATCATCTCTATGAAGACAAGAACTATAATAAAGTCATAGCTCCTTTTTCTATTTGGTTCCCTATCCTCAAATTTCAAGGTGTACCTACAAGTGTTCAATAACTCCTTTTTATTTTTAGGAATTCCAATCAAAAGAGCCACAAAACAGAGACCTGTCTTCTCTGGAGGGGCCCAGCCTGGGTCTTGGAGGTAGACACCAAGCCAAAGCAAAACCTCGCCTGGGGTTTGCTCTGCCAAAGGGGGATCTGTTCTTAATCTCTGCATCACTGTCTTTTTTCCCTCTGGGAAGTCCCAAGGGAAGAAAAAAAGAGATGGCAAACAGAACTCTCCCTACTAGGGCAGGACACTGATAAAGCAAAATGAGGACTGACAAGGCCTGTGACAGTTTCATTATTTGGTAAATGAAGGCATGTTTGGATGTCATAACAGATGCAATTAATGAACTTTCATGTGCTAGCAACAAGGTAGTGGAATGATAATGAAAAAAGCCTCATTAGAATTAGTCTTCCTTCACTAGCTCTAACAGCACTAATAAAACGACCCATGTATTTATTAACATTTGCCTCTAATTAGTAATTTCAAAACACAGTTAGGATCATTCATCACCCGGCAATCTCTAACAATTCATACTTGGTAAGCGCTCTACAAATTCACACTCAAGTATCTAAAAAGCTATTTGAAAAGAGGTAAATTAGAGAATTTGGAAGGATGGACAGGCAAAAATTTTTCAAATACCAACAACAAAAACTCCATTCTACAGTTTTTCACCATATCAAATTTACAAGATGCACAGCCATTCACCATTTCTTCTGCTGCAGATTTTCTCAATAAAGTACACATAACACTATTTCACAGAATCTAGTATGGCTAAACTCATATAAAAAATGAAGAAGAAAAAACTTATTTTCTCTTACAAAATAGGAAGAGAGAATCATTGCACAACCAGCCAAAATGGATGCCAGCACAACATCAGGTGGGATTTCGGAACCACTTCTCCCGAGGATAGGAGTAAACATCTCAAATACCGCCCAGATGAGGTACAATGCATAAAGATAAGGAATAAACATTCCAAAAAGGTAAAAAGTAAAAAATTTTCCTTGGGCACCTAGGGAAAAAAGAGAAAAAAGCACACATTTATGAAATCCTAAAGTGAGATATAAATTTTTATAGTACTGGTGTGCCTTGGTACCCTAACAGAAATTGGATTAGGTATGACTTTTGCCCTTAAGGGTATATGTTATCTTGAAGTAGGATCTTTCACTCAGAAAGGATAAAATAGAAATAAGAGTTAAGCAAAATACACAATATATTAGCACGCATTCACAAACATGAGAAAGGGATGGGGTATAAGGCATAAGATAATTTGTATAGTGTGAAAGCTTTTCAAAACAACTTAGAAAGTCTACTCGATAAAATAAAAAAAGAAAGAGTCCCTGAAAGCCTTATCTTATGTACTTTAAGGTATTCTCCCATGTGTATCAAAATAAAAAATACCCTACCATGCTGCTTAAAGTCCTTATGAACACAGAGCTTTGTGAGCAATGGGAATGCTACCCAGACAGCACTAATAAATGCCGAGCAAAGTCCTTGGTAAGTGAGGGCTACAAGAAAACAGCAATGGACAAACAGCGAGACGTCAAAAAATACTTCTCCCAGATACTGGTCACTGGCATTCTGAAAGAAAGAAAAATACACAAGTAGTCTCATTCACGGGTCATTCATAAAGAGCTTTTATTATAGTAACACAATTTCCATCACTCAGGAAAACTACATTTTGTTTTAAACACGGTCTGCTCTTTAAACTGATTTGAAGTAAACACTAACAAAGCTGCTTCCCATCATGAAGTAATAAATTCAAATTGCAGCATAAGGGCAGTTTAAGAAGACAGAGTACAAATGCTCCACATAATCTGTGCTTTTCTTCTACTAGGCTAAAAGTAGAAATACTCCAAAATAGAAGAAAGGACTCTCCTAAAAAAATATTCCTCTCTCTTAAGCTTTTCTGTTCATGCAAATTCCAAACACTGTTTCAGGCAAACTAGAGAAACGACCTGTGAAGGAACATTACAAACTGCTGCAGCACCACCAATAGCCAACACCTGGAAAACTGCAGGACCTTTAAAGGAATCTGGAGTTTGGCTTATTTTCCTGAGTCTTTTCTATCTCCAGTTGGTCTTGTACTGTACCGTTGCCCTCCTCTTGTATTCCTCATGCTTTAGCATCATAAAATTTGATCTTATATTTTTTGAGATTTAAAGTCCAAGGGTTCTTGTGCAGCACCTTGCACTCTTAATTTTGAGACAGGCTCTTGGTCTGTTGTCTAGACTGGAGTGCAGTGGTGCAATTCGGCTCACTGCAGTCTCAGCCTCCTCGGCTCAAGGGATCTTCCTGCCTCAGCATTCTGAGTAACTGGGACTATAGGCACACACTACCACACCCAGCTACATTTAAAAAAAAAAAAAATGCAGAGACAGGGTCTTGCCATGTTGCTCAGCCATGTCTCAAACTGCTGGCCTCAAGCCATCTTCCCACCTCAGCCTTCCAAAGCACAGGGATTACAGGTGACAGCCACTATGCCTGGCCTAATATGAACTTAATACATTTTAACATCCACATGAGTAATTCTATTCACATAAACATGAAAGTTTTAATTACAGTGCATAAATACAAAGATGGAAATGGAGAAATAGATATATTTAAGTTTCTCCTTCCTCTGCCTTCCCATTTCTGTATAGCCCAGGACATGTTTGTTCTAAGGGATCCTACTTCAAGAGCTCAACAGAGTCTGTGATATGTTTTCAAAACAAGTTAAAGTTCACTTAACAAACCTTCCCCACTCCCAACAATGAAAGATAGGCTACAGTTGCTAAATGCTTAAATTATTAACACAGTGCTGATCAAGAGGCTTGGTCTTTAAAAATAAGAAAATAATTCTTATAATTCAATTTGAAGCTGAATGACACTCAGATATTTTAAAAATGAAGATCTCATTTTAAGTGCCCAAACTGTACCAAAGATAAAACATCCCTCCAATCTATTTTCCTACTCACCTCTATTTATCCCTTCCCCACTTCTGCTCCATTCCAATTCATTCTATATATTGCTATCCGTTTTCATACACAAATTCTCACACTAATCTGCTCAGAACATTTTAATAGTGGCCCCACTGATGTTTGGAATCATGCTCTCACTTCACGTTGGCCTACTTTTCCAGTTACTGGACTGCTACCTTGTCTTCACCACACTGGACTTTCCATTAACTGACACCCATGTATTTTATACATTTCCACCTTAAACTACTCATCAATTAGTTCCCCATCTAGTAAATGTCAACACATGCTTCAAAAACCCCATAAAGGCCAGGTGCAGTAGCTCACGCCTGTAATCCCAACGTTTTGGGAGGCTGAGGTTGGTGGGTCACTTGAGGCCAGGAGTTGGAGACCAGCCTGGTAAACATGGAAAAACCCTGTCTCTACCAAGAATACAAAATTTTGCTGGGCGTGATGGGGCCCATCTGTAGTCCCAGCTACTTGGGAGAATGAGGCAGGAGAACTGCTAGAACCATCAGGCAGAGGCTGCAGGAGCCAAGACTACTGCGCTCCAGCCTGGGCAACACAGCGAGACTCTCTCCAAACAAACAAACAATTCAAATGTTGCTATCTCAGCCACCCTGCCACAAGCAAATTCATCTTGCCTCCCCTGTATTCCTATAGCACAGTTACATGTCAGTCTCACTTCATCCCACAACGTAGAGCAATTATTGTCATTCCCACCCCTTCCCAAATGAAACTGAGAGCTCCTCAAAGAAAGAGATCACATTCTTATGACTCTCCTATGGCATCATTCTTGTTTTAAAATAATAATAATAATAATAGAGATGTGGTCTCACTTATGTTGCCCAGTCTGGTCTCAAACTCCTGGCCTCAAGCAGTCTTCCTGCCTTGGCCTCCCAGTGTTGGGATTACAGGTGTGAGCCACAGTGCCTGGTCTCTGATAGTACCATGTTCACCAGGCACTTAAAGAATATTTGTGAAAAGAAAATGTAACACATCACTCTTTCTATTTTGCTTTCAGCCTAAAGTATTATGATCAGACAACTGAAATTAGTAAATGAAATTTTATTAAGCATTTCTATCCTACTCCTGCCCCAATCAACAATAGTCAGCCACACTGTGGTCAAACACTGTTACACTAAGAATAAATATGTGAAACTGAGCCCCATGGTGTAATTCTTTTGGGAACTGGAGCCACTAAGATAAAAATATGAGCTCAACCATAAGCAGATGGCTAACCTCAAAGAACCTTTCTTCATCAGGGGCTGCTAACATGGAAGGGTTCCACAGAGCACATCCCAAAATTAACTGAAACTGAGACCAAGGTTCAGATATCAAAGACATGCTTGTGGAAGGATGCTGGATTATAATCATCCATGTCTCATTTGAAACTTTATCAGGATAAACTGAAAACAGTAGGCTTACACGGAGCTAAGATCTTCCTCTTTAATTCACAGACAGTCTGAAACCATGTTGCTCTCTTTCACTGTAATTCATTTTTATACCTATTATTTTATAGCTTTTTAATTTTTATTTATTTTTTTGAGATAGAGTCTCACTCTGTCCCCCAGGCTGGAGTGCTGTGGTACAATCACAGTTCATTGCAGCCTTGATCTCCTGGGCTCAGGCGATATTCCTACCTCAGCCTCCCAGATAGCAGGGACTACAAGGGCACACCACCATGCCTGACTAATTTTTTGTATTGCTTGTGGAGACAAGAGTTTCACCATGTTGCCCAGGCTGGTCTTGAACTCAAGCGATCTGCTTGCCTCAGCCTACCAAAGCGTTGAGATTACAGGCGTGAGCCACCACACCCGGCCCATAGCCCTAATTTCTAATTTTATTTCTGCCAACAAACTTATCTATTTGAAACCATAACAATATTCTCAGTATAAATCATTTGGAACCCTAGTTCCCTTCCCTCTGTTTTCCTTAGCAATGTGTCTTTAACCCCAATGACATACATGTGTGTAGAACCTGAATCAGCAATATATAGTTAAAAGAAAAAACAGTGAGGGAAACACTGAAGAGAAAACTTTAAGTGCAACATCCTTTTAGGCAACAAATACTTGCTGTGTGTTAGTGCTGTGTGTTAGTGCTGTTTGTCAGACACTACCGAAGCAAAGAGGATACAGAAATAAATAAAACAATCCCTATCCTCAAGGAGTTTACAATCCTGTGGAAAAGAGATTCTCAAACAACATAAATAACTGATTAAGCCCAGGGCATAGTTACAAAAACTGCAGCAAATTCAGTAGAAGGCTGTGCTAACAAGCCTTCCAATCACCACCACCCTAACACTGCTTACAGCCTGGCTTTATAACCTTATTTGAATTTTGTGATTTTATCCTCAGAGTAAGAAATCTTCCAGAAAATTAACACAGTGTGGGAGCATTTTCCATAACCATGCTGAACAATTTTTTAGCACTTAAAAGATCAAATACAATGAATTCCACTTAAGTTGATCTTCAATCCTTGAAGGCAACAGAAGAAATCAACAGATATACCAAACACTTACCACGTAATAAAATCTTTTTGCAAGAGTATGTATAAATATTATTTTGGCTACAGTTGCAGTTCCATACAGACAAACGGAGACATAGAAGTGGTTATACCATGACAGAGACTGTCCAATAAGAGAGATGAACACTGCTATAATGAGAACGGTAACAAGGCTAGTGAACCAGCTAATCACAGTGATCCCAAGTCCACACAAGAAGTCCTTCTTGTAGTTACCAGCTAGTGAAAAGAAAACAAAAAGTTGAGATCACCATCTTCATCAAATCAATTACATAACCAGTCAGTAGAGCTAAATGGGAAAACATTAAAACAAAAAGCTTTTCACTGTAAGTGAAAAATATAAATATGTCCAAAGTGTTGAGGTTGACTAATCACTAGAACAATGGAGGTATCAAAGAATAATATTCAGGTCACATTTATTAAGAGTCTGTAGATATTAAATACTCAAAAAGATCAGCCTTCTAGGAATAGTTCAGATACATTCCTCATGAAGGAAGAGGGTAGTCTTAATCTTCTTCAATTTTGGTATGCTTTGTGTAACAAAACATTAGAAAGAATGGAAGGCCAAGTTCCATATAAAATGTTCTTAAAAGAAGGTAACATAAGTAGATAAGGAGTGTGGGAAAAATAAGTGGTGATAAAGAATTATTTAAATTGCTGCTAAATATTTTATCTGGTAACACCACACAGCAACTTAGACTTTGAAACATTTCAAATAGAAACACTTCAAATAGAAGAAACAATTTAACCACAAGCAGTTCATTCATACTTAAGACACTCATCCATTCTGGCTACTGGTCTGTCATGTGGACAAGACATTTTTCTTTTCTTTTTTGAGACAGCGTCTCAAACTGTCGCCTGGGTTGGAGTGCAATGGCACAATCTCGGCTCACTGCAACCTCCATCTCCCAAGTTCATGCAATTCTTCTGCCTCAGCCTCCCAAGTAGCTGGGATTACAGGCACATACCATGACACCTGACTAATTTTTTTGTATTTTTAGTAGAAAAAGGTTTTCACTGTGGCCAGACTGGTCTCAAACTCCTGACCTCATGATCCGCCCACCACGGCCTCCCAAAGTGCTGGGATTACAGGCATGAGCCACCGCGCCTGGACGGACAAGATTTTTTAATGGGACTTTTCATTATAAGTCAATCTGTACATTTTTCAATATCTTCAATGTAGTACCTAACATGGAAGTAGTATGCCTACTTTTGGAGTCCCTAAATACATATAAGTTGAGTGCTTCTCCAAGATGAAAAGTATAATAAGCATATTAATATTTAAAAATTTATTATAATTTAAAGCAAATACTGTATTGTCTTAAGGTTTTGTTTTCTGGGAAGATATAAACAAACTGAAAAACTTAAAGCAAATTCTACAGCAACGCCAGTATTTGTAGTTTTAGAGGAAAATACTTACTCTTATGTTTGGACTGCAACAATTTTTTGCCCAGGTATAAAACAACAGCCATTACTACCATGTAGTTTATGATTGAGCCAATACGAGAGGGGTAGGCAATGACAAATAGGCCCAGCACATCAAAGAAGACCATGTTTCCATGTTGATACTTAGAAGCAGCAGCCAACATATCAGATGTAGCTAGATGCTTAAGAACTGCTAAAATGTTGTCACCTATTAAAAAAAAAAAAGATAAAAAGGTTGAATAAACTGTGATTTACATGTACAACTATTTAAAGCAGAAATAAGCCATCTACTGTTTGAATGAAAAAATGGTTAGAAACGATGTGAACAGAAATCACTTTCTACCCTCCTACTGTTCTCTCTCACTTTTCTTACTAAATTTCTCAAATAAGGTCCATTTCCCCTTCTCATTTCCTCTCCATTCAGATGCTCGGCCAGCTGGTCTGTATCTTTTCCCTTCTACTAGAACTATTATCTGTGATCAACTGTACCCTCATTGTTGACAAATCCAATGGCTGTTTCTTAGTACCCATTCATTTAATAACATATATTAACTGTACCAGACACTCTTGTAGATATCAGAAATTGAGTGGTGAACCAAGAGACAAAGGCCTTTTGCAAAGCTCACAGATGCTGAACAAGCTGTCAAACATGTTAAAAATCAAGAAGGAGGGCTAGCAGAGTTCCATAGGAAAACACCATGGGAGACTAACAGAGCTACATTCTTACTGCTGCTCAGCAATCCTAACAAAGTGTGGGCCAACTCCTTTTTCATTTCCTCACAATGAATACTCCTGACCTTAATTGCTACACTAGACTACAGGACTAAAATTCAAGATCTCAACTCTCCAACTCCAAAGCCCTAGCTCATTCACACTGTATACTGCCTCTTTAATGCACAGGCCACAGAATATGAACACATTTATGTATTATCCCTAATATTCCATGTTAGTATATATCAGAAGTCTAAATTAGAATACCAACCTGCTCTCTGAATGGAATCTGTAAGAATTCTGTCCGCTGTGTCATACTTGGTATGATAAATGTATCCATTCTCAATAAAAGCTAAGTCTATTCCTAAGATATATAGAAAAAAAAAAGTCATTTTGCTTTAAAGATCAACCTTGCTTTAGGCCTACTTGTTTAATAAATTCCTAGAAGACAAAATGTCAAAGCAGTGGCATGACTGCTTTGTCACATTTACAAATGAATGACATAAATTATCTTCCAAATTCTTACACAACCTATAGCTTTACATAATTTGATACATAATGATTGAAGAAGTGTATTACTCCATAGGGAGGCATTAAAAGTCACACAGCAAGGGTAGGAATATTGAGTTGGGGAGGCCATCAAAATTTTGCCACCTATGTTCTTGCCAGGCCAGAGCCAAATTTAACTTCAAATAAGACAAGCTGCCAAAGGAGTTGGCAAAGCAAGATCACAACGAAAAGACCCCTGAAGGATCTATTACCATCGTTCGGGAAGGAGGTGCTAAACAGTTCTTCCCTGTTCTTCTGTCACATTATGAGGCAAGATGACATATTCTGGAGGAGGCAAGCATTTAAATTAGTATGGAGTTTTAAAAAGGAAAGCATTAGGAACTCTGTTTTAGTGAGTCAGAATGTATATTTCTCAGATAAAGAAATTGTTTTAGAAAATGCTGTTTACTCATAAACTTTCAAGATTAAAACTTGCTTGTGATAAATAAATGTTGCACAATAGGCCGTAACCATTGACAATATACCTGGGATGTTCCCAAAATCCCTGTAGATACGAAAGTCAGTATCTGAAGGAATTATTCCACTCTGAAAAACCTCCTGAGCCACCACAGAAGCAAAAGGGTGTTTGGCTGCTGAAACATAAGCTTGAACCAACCAAGGATTTTCAGGACCTAAAATGAAATGTGACAACACAATAGAAGGTTATTCTGGCAATTTTTTTTTTTAAACACACTAATGTTTTTCAACACATTGAAAACAGTAACAGTGGTAGTTTGAGAAGATTGGTTCAAAATATATCTTTTCATCCCTTTTTCTGTAGTTTCCAATGTTTCTCTTATATGTGTGTCTGACTTTTAGAAAAAATAACCTCTTGTGAAAATAAAATTATTTTAAAGTATAAAATAACAGCAATACAAAAAGTCTGTCTGGGCCGGGTACAGTGGCTCACGCCTGTAATCCCAGCACTTTGGGAGGCCAAGGAGGGTGGATCACGAGGTCAAGAGAGCAAGACCATCCCAGACAACATGAAGAAACCTCATCTCTACTAAAAATACAAAAATTAGCTGGGCGTGGTGGTGCACAACTGTAGTCCCAGCTACTCGGGGGACTGAGGCAGGAGAACTGCTTGAACCTGGGAGGCAGAGGGTTGCAGTGAACCAAAATCACACCACTGCACTCCAGCCTAGCAACAGAGCAAGACTCCATCTCAACAACAAAAAAAACCAAAATAACAGTCTGTCTGAAAATGAAAGATCATTCATAAATCTATCATCCTAAAATACCTATTATCAATTTTATATCTTTAATTTTCTAATATAGGATTGTATATAGCTATACTCAATGAAGATATATATACTTTGTACATTATTTTTTCACTTAACATTATATTAAATGCATTCTCCTATATTGCTAGATACAAATTGGATATACATTATCTGAAATGCCTGGGAGCAGAAGAGTTTTGGATTTTTGACTTTTTTGGATTTTGGAATGTCTGCATTATACTGGTCAGCATCCTTAATCCAAAAATCCAAAATCAGAAATGCTCCAATGAACATTTTTTTTGAGCATCAGCTCAAAAAGTTTTGAATTGTAGAACATTATGGATTTCAAATTTTCAGGTTAGGGATGCTCAATATGTAATACAATAATCATTTTGATAACTGCTTAACATTTCAGTGAATATGCCATAAAGTTCCTTGCTACTTTTTATAATTTGTCATTATTAATAATTTTCCATCTGCATCTCATACATCTACAGTTTTCAAACAGGAGTTTTCCCTTTAGGATAGTGGGATAAATTGTATTATAATTTATATAATTATAATTATGTAATTATATGTATAATTATATAATTATTCACTCTTCCCTCCCTGAAAAAGGATTATACATTCCTACTCTTGCCACATAACTTGTAATGCCTGCCTGGAGAACGAGTATGTACTCTTTTTTTCTGTACCTACTAACTGCAGGCATGAATACATTACTTGCTCTGGGCAACAGAGCGTATGGTAGAACGACATGACCCTCAACTGAGCAGACTTCACAAAGGCATTAACATCATTCATACCTATCTTTAACTTTGATTTGTGAGATCAATACATCCCTAACAGGGGTTTCTCCTTCAGCCTGGATCCCAGAATGAATAAGACACATGGAATATAACAACCATGGATCATAACTGCAGTTATTCAGAAAACAGAATGCAATACAAGCAAGAAATAAGCCTTTCCTGTTGTAAACCACTAGGATTTGGGGGTTGTTACCACAAAATTTAGCAACAGATTCACTGATGTAAACAGACCAAGTAACTGAATGTCAGGGAATCTAATAATATTATTTTTGTAACTTCACAGATTATAAAATTGCTTTCCTACATTTTAAAAAAATGACCAAGGCTGGATGCAGTGGCTGACACATGTAATCCCAGCACTCTGGGAGGCCAAAATGGGCAGAGCACCTGAGGTTAGGCATTCAAGACCAGCCTGGCCAACACGGCAAAACCCTGCCTCTACTAAAAATGCAAAAATTAGCCGGGCATGGTGGCGCATGCCTGTAATCCCAGCTGCTTCGGAGGCTAAGGCAGGAGAATCACTTAAACCAGGGAGGCAGAAGTTGCAGTGAGCCAAGACTGCACCACTGCACTCCAGCCTGGGTGACAGAGTGAGACTCCATCTCAAAAAATAAAAATAATATTTAAAAAATTAAAAATGAACAAAAAAAGCAGAGAGACACTACAGAAAAAGACATATAGGTAACCCAGATACTGGAGTTATCAGACACAGATTTTTTAAATGATTAATATGTTTTTAAAAACACAGATAATATCAATTTTACCAGACAAGTGTAATCCATTTAAAAGAGTCAAAATGACTCGGGATGCTCCTGGTTTGTCCATCTACCGCTTTGATTCCTTGGATCCCACCCATTCTTTCACTTTAAGAAAAAAACAAATAATTGTTGCAGAGGTCTCTGCATTTTGCAGCTGCCCTTTTGTAAGAAGCACTTTTCCCAAATAAAACAATCTTTTAAAAATCCTAGAACTGAAAAACACAGCTGATGTTGAGAATTTTAATAAATGGGCTTAACACAAAGTTTAATACAGCAGCAGAAGGGATTAAAATTAAAGCAGAGAAATAAAAAAAGGTTGGAAAATACACATATGTGAGCAATTAGAGTCCCAAAAGAACAGAAGATAGAATGGAGAAGACAAATGCTTTAACACTTAATGGCCAAGAATCTTCCAAAACTCATAGAATTCAAGCATGAATTTAAAAAGGTCTTCCAACCCCAAACAAAATAAATACAAAGAAAAACCGTATCTGGCAGTATTTGCTTTTGAATACTATTCCCCACCAAAAGAAACCAAGTCTTCTTAGAGAAATGGCTGATTCCAGGTCGGGGACTACCAAAGTAAAAAGTAAGTTGAAACACCTGTGTCAAAAAGCAAGCCAGTGCTATAAGAGACATGTCAAAGGGGCTCACGCACTGGTTTGAAGTAGACACCACTGGCCTAAACTGGGACAACTCATGCAACAAAATAGTAACAGCATATATAATCTACAGAGTAAAATTAAAATACATAAAGTACTGAAATAACAAAAGAATGGAAATTGGAAAGCCTTCCTTCTAACAGAATTCCAGCTATTATCTACAGGAAGAATGATGGAGCCAGAAACTCAGCATTTGCATTTGGTAAACATTATAATAAAAATGCTTGGGGACAAGAGCCATCAATGATTGCTAAAACTAAGATCAAAGTTTTATGGCAAACAAGGTATTTACTTAAAGTATCTATCACTAAGGGGAAAACAGTAACTTGTACAAAGAAAGAAATAATAGAAAAACCTGGTAAATAAGTATCTTAATCAAACAATGAAAATGTAATATCAATAATTAATAATGAGATAAACAGATACTACATGCCTCCTGATGTGATGCACTGAGAAGGACACAAGTACAAAAGGAAAAAAAATGATGGGGACATACACAGATTATGAGACTTTATCATATTAAATACTATATTATTACTCTGATATTACTAAATTTACACTAAAAAATATGAAAACTGTACCGAAAAACAGGTAAAGCCAAACTATAATTAATTATCTTAAAAATTAGGATAACAGTTCCTTTTAAATGGGAGGGAGTTGTATTTGAGAAGAGACAGATTAAAAAAAACGCCTAGGTGGGCAAGGCAATCCACCCTCTTTCATGAGGCAGGGTTGGAAAGATTTTCACCTTACAATAATTAAGTCTTCAACTTTTTTTTTGACATGTGTTAAATAATGATTATGATTTACTTAACAATGCATGTTAATTAAATGCTATATTTGATCCCAGATGTTTTAAATGGCTAGGACATTAATGGAACAAATAGAAAAATCTAAATATGCATTGTTTATTATAGTTTAGTGTTTATTATAGCATATAATCAATGTTCGGTTATAGAAGAGCATGTTTCTTTTATCTGAGATGATCATCCTGAGATTGTTGATCGACATAATTTTTCGGACTGGTGCCACCCTTGTTGTTGATCTTTGTAGCCAAGGATAATTATCTCAAAAAAATAATATAATCCTCTTCATTTTTCCTTTAAAAACTTTTGTCTTCCTTTACTGCCCTAGTTTACTCTGGCACACAGTTTCACATAGTTTACCATGGCACATGTATTCCTACCACAATGCCCATTACTAAATAAATGGCATCTTTGAGAGTCTCCCTCTGTCTGTTATTTAGATTAACAACTTCACATACATTACACTAAGTTAAAAAAAAAAAATACAGACACAAAGACCACGTATTGTATGATTACATTTATATGAAATGTCTACAATAGGCAAATCTTTAGAGACACAAAGTAGACAGGTAGTTGCCTAGGGATGGAGGAAAACGGGAATGACTGCTAGTGAGTTTCCTATTTGGGATGATAAAAACATTCTAAAATTGATTATGATGATGATTGCACAACTGTGAATTACAGATCTCAATAAAGCTGTAATTTAAAAAAAAGAAACAATACTAAAGAAGGCTATAGGCCAGGCGTGGTGGTTCACACCTGTAATCCCAGCACTTTGGGAAGCTGAGGAGGCGGACCACCTGAACTCAGGAGTTCGAAACCAGCCTGGCCAACATGGTGAAACCTCGTCTCTACTAAAAATACAAAAATCAGCCAGGCGTGGTGGTGCACACCCATAATCCCAGCTACATGGAGGGCTGAGGCAGGAAAATCACTTGATCCTGGGAGGCGGAGGGTGCAGTGAGCTGAGATCACACCACTGCACTCCAG